GGGTGAGCTGCTTCAAGCTCACCGCAAGCTAATGGACCTGGAGTGTTCCCGCGATGACCTCATGTACGAGCAGTACCGCATGGACAGCAAAAACGTCCATGACATGAACCTCATTCGTAACTACTTCGGCCAGGTGCAGGGCCTGTCAGAGGAACTCTCCAAACAACTCTGGATGGTCCTCCAACGTGCCATGGTCACCGTCCGCCGTGACCCCACAATGCTGGTGTCTGTGGTCCGAATCATCGAGCGCGAAGAGAAGATCGACCGCAAGATGCTGGACCGTAAGAAGCAGACTGGGTTCATCCCACCTGGGAGGCCCAAATGCTGGAAAAATCGAATGAACGAAGTCCTAGAGGGCACCGTGAGCGGTCGCATCGAGAGCACGCAGTCGGAAACACGCGAGTCTGACAAAATGTGGCTGGTGAGGTTGCTGGAGATCACTAGGAAGTACGTTCTGGACGACCTGACCGTGGTGAAGAACCTGATGGTGCAGTGCTTCCCTCCACACTACAACACCTTCCAGGTGTTCTTCGACCTCTATCATAAATCAGTGTCGGCACGCGTGCAGGAGCTCGCAGCAGAAGATCTGGAAGCCAATGAGATCGTGTCTCTTCTCACATGGGTCCTCAACACGTATAAAAGGTGAGATACTAGTGGACTGCATTTAGGGTGCTTTCACACTAGCACTTATGGTGCGCACCCGGGTTCGTTTGACGTCGGAGTTCTGTTCGTTTGGATGATGTGAACGCGGGTACCCGAGTTCGCTTATAAAGGGTGGTCTGGGGTACGGTTCATGTGAACTCTGGTACGGTTCGCTGCTGATGTGAACGCAATCGTACCAAATCACAGAAGTGAACTGCTATTAATGACGTATTATTTAATAAAAATGTGTGTTTGTGTGTGTGTTTCACTCACTTTCCTGACGAGCGTGGCTGACGCGCGGCAAACAGAGCTGTATATCTAATTTCTGTTCGCCTTCAGCTTTCTTTAGAGCATTTGCAGTACATTTGTAAGACAGACGTAAGTGCCCTGAAGTGTCCAGCGGGGGCAGGGGGAGGGGGAGGGGGGAGTAATCGAACTCGGGTTCGTGTCGCTGCAAACAGAGAGCTGTATATCTCATTTCTGTTTGCCTTCAGCGTTCTTTAGAGCATTTGCAGTACATTTGTAAGACAGACGTAAGTGCCCTGAAGTGTCCAGCGGGGGCAGGGGGAGGGGGAGGGGGGAGTAATCGAACTCGGGTTCGGACCAGGCAAGCGAACCAAGTGTGAAAGCACCCTTAATGAAGTAGGGAGTTGCATGAGAACTTGAGTGCTCTGAAGTCACAGCAATAATCGATTATGAAAACTGATTTTTTTTTTTTCAGGAATTGCACATTTACAGGTTGTTTTAGTCATTTTTACTACTTATGTATTTATTTAGTTAGTTGGTTAATTAGCTGTTATCTATGGACAGCAATAATTGATCATAAAATGAAATTTGTCATTTAAATTTTTTTTTCAGTAAATTGCATATTCTCAGTTGCTGTTTGTCCCAAACAGTATTTTTGGTTTGCAGTACATTTGTAAGACAGACGTAAGTGCCCTGAAGTGTCCAGCGGGGGCAGGGGGAGGGGGAGGGGGGAGTAATCGAACTCGGGTTCGGACCAGGCAAGCGAACCAAGTGTGAAAGCACCCTTAATTAAGTAGGGAGTTGCATGAGAACTTGAGTGCTCTGAAGTCACAGCAATAATCGATTATGAAAACTGATTTTTTTTTTTCAGGTAATTGCACATTTACAGGTTGTTTTAGTCATTTTTACTACTTATGTATTTATTTAGTTAGTTGGTTAATTAGCTGTTATCTATGGACAGCAATAATTGATCATAAAATGAAATTTGTCATTTAAATTTTTTTTTCAGTAAATTGCATATTCTCAGTTGCTGTTTGTCCCAAACAGTATTTTTGGCCATTTATTTATAATACTAATACTACTACTACAAATAATAATATAAAATATAGCATTCGTTATTATTATTATATTTATAATTTATTATTATTTTTTCTAAAATAGTGTGTCATATTTATTCTGTTGATATTACATTCACAGGTTATATTATGTATAGGAATATTGGTGTTTCAAACTGAGCTTATTTAAATCTCACCAGGGTAACGTTATCTAGCTGGCTAGAAAGCTCATGGTAATTTGATCATATGGCATCATTTTCAAGCAAAAACATTTTTATGAATTTATTTTTCAGCTGTTACTTTAAATGAAAAACCTAGTGAATTTTAATGTAAAAAAAAAAAATTGCTGGATGGGAAAACTACCATTTGTGCTGTTGCCTTTACTACCCTAACTCACCATTGCATTCTTCAGTGACAGATCAGTCTGTCAAAGCACAGCAGTGAGCAATTAGCTCAATATTTAAAGCGGAGCCGAGAGCAGCAGCACAGTTTTGTGTGCTTAATCTGACTGATGGACTCACAGCAGACCATCACATCGCGTGCACTCACAGGATTGAGCAGGAAGATTAAAGTACTTATTGTAGTAGATCTAAACAGTGCAGGAGAGAGACAAAAGCAGCCTGCAGATCTTCAGCTCTGCTTTTTGTTGCTGTCTTACACACTGAAGGACTGTAGTAGGACATGCTGGGATGCATTTCTCTTTTTTTTGTTGCGTCCATCAATATTATTATTTATATACTATTATAATATTTATTAAATATTTGCAGTTTTCATTTTAGTTTGAATAAAAACGTATTTTATTTCAGTTAGTTGCAAAGGCAACATTTCTAATTTTCATTGAAGTTTTTGAAGTTTCATTTATTTCAGCTTTATTTTAATTCATAAAAGTATTTTTATTAGTTTTGTTAATAATGATACTTTAAATATTAATAATAGTTTTACTATTAACTATTATTGAATAGTTTAATAGTTAACAGTAAAAAAAACTTGCATCCATATGAATCTTATCCTGGTCATATTTCCAAAAACAGAAGGACAAATAAGAAATAACTTTTAAATGAAGCTAGTTTAGTACCTTCAATGTAAAGCATTGTGACATTATTCTGCCAGTTAAATATTTTCCCTGCACATTTTCACCTAGTTTCAGTTCCAAAATCTTTACAGTAAATAATTTAAAAAAATATTTTTTATAAATTTATATTGTATAAAATATTGTGTGCAAGTTTGAGCAATTTTGCGAATGTTTATGTTGCCACATGTACACATCTTGATATCAGCATCAGCCATTCTAAAGCCCCCCATACAGGTTGAAATAAACATATTTGATTCTGTCAAACTAATAATACATAATAAATCCAAGGCATTTCTCTGACATTGATGAGGAGCAGAAACGGGTGCAGTTCATGTGCATCTGTGTGAGTGTGATGTCTGGATCTGTCTCTGGCAGTGTGGATATGATGGGTCATCCTGATCTGCAGCCCGAGTGTGACGTCAAGCAGCTGGAACCGCTGTTGCCCCAGCACGTGGTGGATGATTTGCTGGGCAAATACCTCAAAACCTTTACTGTGAGTCCCTCAAGGCTGCAGCACTGGATTAAATACAAAACCCTTTATATCTTACATATTACGCAGCCTTTTGAAATGCTGTGCATGAACAAGCATTGTCAGTTCAGCAGCTCTTTGTTGTTTTCCAATTCTCTCCAGTCGAACATCACAGGCTGGCTGCGCAAAGCTCTGGAAACAGATAAGAAAGACTGGCAGAAGGAGACGGAGCCTGAAGCCGACCAGGACGGCTACTACCAAACCACCTTACCTGCTATTGCCTTCCAGGTCCAACAACTTCTGCTTTAATGCACCCAGACACTTGAGGTTCTCCATGAGATCTTCCTTTATTTCAAGCGTTCCTCTTCCTCCTCAGATGTTTGAGCAGAATCTCCAGGTGGCCGCGCAGATCAGCGAGACCTTTAAAGAGCAGGTGCTGAAAGTCTGTCTGAAGCAGATGAACTCTTTCCTAGTAAGGTACTGTGATCTCAAACTGGCCGTGTCTTTTTATTTTTCCCACTTATCATTAAAAAGATGCTGTTATTATTAGTAAAGACGCACATATTCACCCTTCGTACATGTGTGTGCAGGTACCGAGAGGAGGCGATCAACTATAAGGAGGAACATCTGAAAGATCGTCAGCTCCCACAATGCTACGTTCAGTACATGATCGCCATCATCAACAACTGTCAGACGTTCAAGTGAGTCTTTAAAGGGGTCATATGATGCTACAATGCACTGGGTCAGCTGGCCAATCAGAGCAGACTGCGCTTGTCGGAAGGAGGGACTTTGTAGAAAACGAAGCGTTTGAGAGAGGCAAGACATAGAGGACCTACAATAATGTACAGTATTTGAAAAATAATGTGTTTTTTGAACATTAGTGCATTTCAACATATTCTGTTACACCAAGTACACAAAATAATGATCTTTAAAAAAAGCATCATATGACCCCTTTAAATCAATAATTGAACGTTATGAAAGCAACACATTACATTATTGCATAATTCAGGGTCTCTGGGAAAAATTAAAATTCTTTTATCATTTACTCATCCTCGTGTCGTTGCAAACCTGCATAACTTTATTTTTTTCCTGTGGGACGCCAAAGAAGATATTTTGAAGAATGTTGGTAAGCAAAAAGTTCCAGGTCAATGAAAGTCATGCAGGTTTGGAATTTTTGGTTGAACTATCCCTTTAATTATCATTTTAAGATATCTTAAATTTGGAGATGGTAAAAAAAAGAATTACTGTACCGTATGGCCTAATGTGTTTATTAAACTTCAAAAGGGGATGATTTATTGAAGACATACATAATTAATTATATTTGTGCATTCTTAAATCTAAAGCAATGCATTATTTTTGCAGTATTTCTTCTTAGAAACCAGTGTTAGACTGCTAATTGAACTAAAGTAATGTTTTAATTAACTTCAATATGTTTGTTTTCAGAGAGTCTATAAATAGTCTGAAAAGGAAGTACTCTCAGTCGACTGAACCCACTCAGAACGACGCCACCATAGACAAGCTCCTGAACGAGGTGGCCAGAGAGGGCTGCCAGTTCCTGCTAGATGAAGTCTTCCTGGATTTGGAGGTACTGTAAATACGCTCAGGTTGTGTACTGCCAGTTGTTGAGGTTTAGTGACTGGGATGAATGTGTTGGATTTTGACTGTTTCTTTGTCTCTTGACAGCATCATCTTAATGCGCTGCTGACCCGGAAGTGGTTGACGGGCTCTCATGCTGTAGACACCATCTGTGTGACCGTGGAAGACTACTTTAATGACTTTGCCAAAATTAAAAAGCCTTACAATCAGGTTTGCACACTAAAACATTTCAGAAAAAATGTCATCTTATAGTAGCCGAGTCGTATTTGTTATAATGCTGAATTTGCACTTTTTATGATAAGACCAGAGGGCTGTTGGGGAAGTCGTGGCCTAATGGCTAGAGAGTCGGACTCATAACCCAAAGGTTGTGGGTTCGAGTCTCGTACCGGCAGGGATTGTAGGTGGGGGGAGTGAATGTACAGCGCTGTCTCCCACCTTCAATACCACGACTGAGGTGCCCTTGAGCAAGGCACCGAACCCCCAACTGCTCCCCGGGCGCCGCAGCATAAATGGCTGCCCACTGCTCCGGGTGTGTGTTCACTGCTGTGTGTGTGCACTTTGCACTCTGTTAAATGCAGAGCACTAATTCTGAGTATGGGTCACCTTTTTTTCACTTTTTTTTTTTTTAATCATGTACAAATTGTTTTTTGACATTTATTTGATCAGTAATACAGTAAAAACAGTAATTTAGTGAAATATTATTACAATTTCAAATAAATGTTTTCTATTTTAATGTAATGTATTTCTTTAAAGCAAAGCTGAATTTTCAGCATCATTACTCCAGTCTTCAGTGTCCTTCAGAAATCATTCTAATATGCTGATTTGCCGCTCAAGAAACATTTTTCAAAAGAAAGTTCAAAAGAACAGCATTTATTTGAAATCTTTTGTCAAATAAATATGTATTTCCTGAAAAAAGGTATTCATTTATTTAAAAAAAACAAAATACAATCTTACAGACCTCAAACTTTTGAATGTATTTTATGTGTGCATTCATTTCCTACAGTTCAAAAAATGAATCTAATGCAAACGTAACACTATTCAGCACTAATTGATACTGTTTTTGTTGTGTTGTGATTGGTGTTTTCTGATGTTTGTGTTAAACAGGAAATGACGAGTAAGGCTCATCGGCGGGTGGTGGTGGAGTATCTGAAGGCCATCATGCAGAAGCGCATCTCGTTTAAGAACGCTGACGAGAGGAAGGAGGGAGCCGACCGGATGATGAAAGAAGCCGAGCAGTTCAAATTCCTCTTCAGGAAACTTTCTGCTGTGAGTCTCGCAACACCAAACGCTCTGCACTGAGAAGGAATGATGTGCTATAATCCAAGAGATCAGTCAGTGTTGTAGTGCTGATTGTTCTAGTGTTTTTGGCAGCACAGGAACATGTAGCATCAGCAGTATCTTTTCGAAGAGCTCTTTGTAAAGCATGTTTTTATGTGCTCAGGGAGAGGACACAGACCGGCTGTGTGACGCCATCGCTGCTATCGCAGAGGTCTTCAGACTGACCGATCCTGCGCTGCTCTACCTGGAGGTGTCCACCCTGGTGTCCAAATATCCTGACATCAGGTCAGACTTCATTACATTGAAATCATTGTTAAAATAAAGTTTTCATTTCTTAGAGAGATGACAAGTTTTGTGAGATACAAAGGAAAAAAATGAGAAATATATTTTAATTAAAGGTAATAAAGCCTGTTTTGAGGGCCATTTGGTTTTTAGCATTGTGATGATATTTCTGTAACAATGACTAATTCTCATTGTAATATACAGTGGGTACGGAAAGTATTCAGACCCCCTTAAATTTTTCACTCTTTGTTATATTGCAGCCATTTGCTAAAATCATTTAAGTTAATTTTTTTTCCTCATTAATGTACACACAGCACCCCATATTGACAGAAAGCCACTGAATAAAAAATAAAAGAGGTAATTGCGACTTTTTATCTCACAATTCTTACTTTTTTTCTCAGAATTGAGCGATATAAACTCGCAATTCTGACTTTTTTTTTCAGAATTGCGTGAAATAAACTCGCAATTCGGACTTTTTTCTCAGAATTGCGTGAAATAAACTCGCAATTCGGACTTTTTTTCTCAGAATTGCGTGAAATAAACTCGCAATTCGGACTTTTTTTCTCAGAATTGCATGATATAAACTCGCAATTCTGACTTTTTTCTCAGAATTGCGTGAAATAAACTCGCAATTC